AAAAATTGTAGAAATTGAAGGTTAAATGCTTTTAGGCTATTTCAAATATCCAGGCTCTCCCTAATTCCTGGTCATAGATGAATTTGGGAACTAGAGACTGGAATGATGTAAAATGGGACTTCTATGAAGATAGGCACAGACTTCCAGTAAAGGAGGTTCTCAACCCCTTCCTCTACAACACAAGCTTTGTTGTTGCTTTGTTTCATTTTGTTTTGCTTATTATACATCTGTCAACCTCCCCACCACATACGTAAGCCTGGTTTAACATTTGCAACTGGCAAAATGCTAAAAAGTGAGAGTTTACAACTAACTGGATTAACCCAATTTAACCAGATAAAAAAAAAACATTAAGTAACAGCTCACTTGGCACCTCTAAATGCAATAATCCCCTACCCTTCACTGAAAAAAATAAAAATTATAATGTTATTAAATATAAGAGAAGTATACAGCTCATAGAATTTAGAAAACTTTACTTAATAATTAAACATTCTCTGAACCACAAACAACAGACCCAGTTTCAAGAAACAAGAATGATATGCCTCCACTGCATCCCCCAAGACCTTTGAGAATATCTAATCTAAATCACCTACATATAATAAGAAAAATGAAACAGAGAGGTAATACCTTCTTCCCACTCTTTTCGAATTCAGTCAGTGATAGTAAGAGAAAGAGACTCCTTGAGATTACTAGGGTTAACTAGTCATCTGGTTCAGGTGTTTTTATACAAAGATAGGACAGAATTTTTCTATATCCCACACCATTCTTAATAAGGCCAAGGTTTTTAATGTCTCATTTTTCTGCACCAGCAAATTGAGCTGATGACATCAATAAGGTGTTGCCATTTACACTGAGATCCCTGTCTTGGGACCCCATGTCTCTGAAGCCACTATTTTATATGCTTAACATACAATTTTCCCCTAAAGTCATTACATTGCTCTTGCCTACAGTTCCATTCTGCCAATTGTCAGCCCACAATGCCTTCTCAAGTGTTGCCATTTGTTCCTATTAGCATTTTACATTTCCCAAGAGCTTAGTGTTGTCTATAAATGTGGACTTTGGACTTTATACTATGTCCATGATCCTACCCAGATCATGCATAAATACTCAAAATAAGATCAGTCCCTGAATGGATGGGGAAGAGAGGACTACTGTTTTGTGTTTTACCTAAGTTGGGTTCTTAATAGGAACAAAGTGTTGCCACATCTTCTCCCCACACCACTGCTGAGCAACACTCAAGACTGCTTTCCTTTTTAGATAAAAAGAAATGGCTATCTACTTAAAGAATAGACAAACGTTATCTCAAAATGGCTACCAAGAATGTAATATTCCTTGCAGCAATTGTCTTTGGTATCACAAACATTTTTGCAGATTCAATGGCAACAGACCTACCAGCAAAGTATGTGCAGTAAATGAATTATAGTACCCTTAGAGGTAATAGATACACAGAGCACATAATACAGAGCTCTTACAAACAGGTAACATTCAGAAGCAAATCCAATAGTTCACAAAAGGAAGTAAGAGCTAATAATTAACATTTGAGAGTCCAGCTTCACCAATAGCCAGAGAAATTTATCATAAAACAAAAGTACCACTTTTACATATAAAGTTAGCAAAAAAAAATTTTTAATACCTAAAAGAGTACCAAAATTGACAATTTTTTGGAATGCCGTTATGACAAGTCTTTATATTGTTTAAACTTTTTGATGAATAATTCTAATACTGAAACTCCATTCTATAAAGAAATAACTCAAAGTAGATAAACAAAACTAAACGAAAAAACATTCATTATATAATTTAAAATACTTCCATACGACAAAATATCATGAAACCACTAAATGACAATCACAAAGAAAGCATAACATAGGAAAATGTGTGTTATAATGTGAAATACAAAACACGATATAAAATAGTACAAATATAAGGTCAATCGTAGAAAAATGCAGAAGGAATGGAAAGAAGTTAACACATTTGTTTACACTAGCTATCTCTGGGTGGTGAACTTATGGTTTTTTCCCCCCCAACCTGATGGTTATTCTCAAAGCTACAATGAATAGTAACCAAATTTCTAGACGGAAGGAACTACTCAAATTTAAACAATTGAAGAAAAATCACAAAACAAGCTAGAGATTTGACACATGATTTCAAATCCCTACTATCCAAAAATTAAAAAAACAAAAGGCAAACAATAACCTCGAGCATATATTTATAATATTAGAGTAATCTGAGTAATAAGCCTTTATTTACACAACACATTCAAATAAATAACAAATGCTAAAGTAAAACTCCAACGGGTAAATCAGTATAAGACATGAACTAACATCACATGAAAGAAAATAAAACTAAGAAACATGAAAAAGAGAATCCAAGCTCACTAATAACCAAAGAAATGCAAAATCAAAATCATTCTGTTTTTTACCCATAATTTTTTAAACAAATACTACTCAATGCTTGAGTAAAAACTGGTACGTTTTGAAGAAATTTTTCAATACATATTGTTAAAAATGTTCATACCCTTTGATGCAGTGGTGAATTCCTACTACATCAACCAATCTATCCTAACTAAATAATAAGAGAAACGCATGTTTTTTCAGTCTTTTATAATAAGAAAAAAAAGCAACAACCTTTACCATTGAACATTCATATTAACATACCAAAATTTTAATAATGGTAAGAAAAAATCTTTACTGCAGCAAATGACTAGTTTTCTCAAAGCATCAGACCAACTCAAATCAGGCAAAACAAAAAGGGTGTGTCCAGGGTGCCGCAGTCGGCCATTTTAAACTGCAGAACAAAAAACACAGAAGGCTGGGTAGATACGGATGGCCCCCTACTAGGCTCCACATCAGGAATCCTTTACTTTTTGTGTTCTACGTCTGTAACCCAGTACACCGCCCTGAGTAAACAGCAGCAAACAGATCTCCTCTCTTAAAGAGCATAGGTTAAGTTACAAACAAAATTTAAAATCATGAAGATCTTTTAAATTTACCCCCTTATTTTACAGGATAAAGCATGTTTTAAGAGCACAGGATTCTGGAGCTATACCACCTAGATAGAAATCCAGTCTCAGCCTTTCAACTGGATTTAAAGCCTGGGGCAAATTACTTCTTTGTGTCCCTCAAATTTCTAATTTGTAAAAGATAAATAGTGGCGCTGCCATTCCTTAAGACAGTCTAGGGTACTAAATATGTTAAGACGTGTAAAAGGCACTGGTAGACTAGTACCTGACATATAGTTTAAGTGCTATAAACGTTTAAGTATAATTATTATAGATAGGAAAATAGGCCCAGAGAAGGAAAAAGACCAGCATGAGATCACAGCTAGTATTAGAGAAGACCTGTCTCCTTATTTTGAATCCTGTGTCCTTTCTACTGTGTAATCTAAGCGCGTAATTACTATTCTTAGCGATTAACAATAGTTCCTCACTGACATTGCTCTGAGAGCCATCACAGCACGGCTGCCTCCCCCCAACGCCAAGTCTTCCCTCTACATGAAACTGTGCTCAAAGTTCTAAAGAAAGTAATAATTTAGAGGAAAGGGTGTGAGCCCAGGTCACCTTCATATCATCATAACCGTATGCCCAATCTTAGGTTTAAAGCAAAACCCAACAAGCATTTGGAAAAACAACCAAATCCTCACCCCTATGTTCTCAAGGAATCAAGAGCTTCTGACTAACGTAACAGTAGATTATCATCATATTGCAACCACGGTGTTCTGCTACTCTGAGAGATCGTGTCCAGAGCCAAGGAAAGCAGCCCAAGATCTGCAAGTCCGACAGTGAGGCCTCCCAAATGTGCGCTGCCTGCAAGTGGCTTGTCTCCAAGTGCTCCCATTTTATGTATTTCCTACACAGAGCCGGCTGTCACAACTTTTTATGGGTTCATCGTCGTCTCCGCACTTTTAAACGCACATTATCGACAGGCCAGTGAGAGCCTAAGATCCCGGGTTAGTTTCTGGTGAATTTGACCACAGCCTAGGTAAACTCCAACTGAGGATTATCCCTTCACTGGAAAGGTAGACCTACTTCTCTAAAGGGACTCTTAGCCCAAGAAGGCCAAGCAGAAACTACTTACCTCCCCCCTCACCATTTTGCAACCTTAATTACACGTAAGGGGCGCGCCTCCCCTTCCCGTCATTCCGTCTGAAATACGGGTGCGTCCCTCTCCCCTCCTACCGCTAAGGCCAACCGTCAGAAAGTTGCCTCAAATACGCATGCGCGACTCTACTCCCGCCTCCCAACCGGGACTGCTAATGAGAACTTCGCTGTCTTACAGACGCATTCGATCCCCTCCTCACCCCAGGCCCTGCGCGTGCGTCCCCCGCCCCTTCACATTAATATTACCTCCGCGCTCCCGCGCCGCACCTCCCCAGCCTTACAAGCCCACGAGGACACCGTGCCTGCCCTCCCCTCTTCTCTGCCCTCCCCACTCCGTTTCTTATGTATACATGCCTGATACCTGAGTGGTTTTCGCCACAGTTGTGCCCCAGTGTTCAAGGAGAGCCGTTAACCAGCCTTCCCTAATCGAAGTAGGTGTGATAAACTAGGGAGGCGGAATGCGGGAAAGACGGCGTTGCAGGTGATGGGAGCAGATGCCAAAATCTAGATTGAATCCGCCCCGACCCCCAAAGAGGGGCTAGAGTACCCTCATATTCCGTAGTGAGACCTACCATCCTGAACAAAGGCAAAGAAAGCACCCATAGGTGGAAAACCTAGTCCTAAGAACCCGACCTTTAAATACAACTTTCTCTACCTAGGAGTGGGGACCTCCAAAATTTTTAAACAAGGAACGTTAGGGAAATACCGACGCTCGGATGTCTCAAGCTGAGAAAAGAGTCTGTATTCCCTTCACAATGGGAAGTAAATATTCATCACCCTTTTGTAGGTCTGAGGCCGGTAATGACCTGTTTTTCCTCTCGTGAATAGGGAAAACGCACAAATTAAGATTCCCGGCCGGAGTTCCCTCTGCCGCCCTCCATGTTCTTCCCCTACGTTGTTCCTTTACCTCCTTAGCTGAATGGAACGTCGCAGCACGAATTCTTGGCGCCGGACGTCCCAAGACAGGGTGCAGGGAACGGCGGCACTGAGTTCGGGTTGCCAGGGTGGCAGCAGCAGAACAAGGAGGCAGTGAACAACAGGCGAAGGGCCAGCTGCTGCGCTGACGCCAGGAAAGGACTGCCTCTGCGGGATCGCCGCAGTGTGGTTCCGGCGCGTGCGCAGAGCACACCCTCAGCTCCCTACCCCCACCCACAGCCCTCTCTCGGAGCTAACACCTCGGCCTTCCTCGCCCCTTCGCCAGTGCCCGGGGTCCTAACCCACCCTGCTCCTTACACTTTTCCTCCCCTGGGTCACACCAGCCTCCACCACCATCCCTTCCTCAGCCTATCCTCCCCTCGTCAATCCCTCACCCGTTCTTCCTGGCCCACCACTTCATTGCCAAATCTCCCTGTCAGCTGCCTTTCACTGTGTTACTCTTAGTGGCCTATTCCATTCTTGGCCTTCCCTGCCCGTCTACAGCAATACTGGACCTCTTGTGCTTGGTGTTGCAACTTGTAAAAAATACTGGAAAAATTGTTGTAAAAAAGGTACATCCACATAATCTTCAAAGCAGCTCGCAAGTTGGGCCCTATCAGCTAATATTGGACTAACGGAAGGTCAGACTGATGATGAACCCATAGAGAAGACCCAGAGCCAGGGACCAAAAGACCCCTTGCACAGATCAGAAAGGGCAAGGGTTGGTGTTCAGTTAGTTTGGGGGCAAGAAACAGTATGCAACCCCTTTTTCCTTCTCTTCACAACCCTGGTATTTTCTGGACATTAAAAATACTGTGCAGTTTCCTTTGCTGCTAAATGTATTTAGGCTTGTCCCAGTCTTCTGTGAGAAATTCACATATTAATTTTAAGAGAGGTGGCATCAGTTATTCAACAGGCTCTGAAATGGATTCTTCTTTGGATATGACAAGGAGAGAATACAAAAAAATATTCCATTTCTCTTTATGATGTTTTACTTTGGTGGCCGGTTCTTCTTGCTTTCTAAGAAAGCTAGTTGGGAAATATAAAAACTTGAAACCCACAAATCCATAAATCCTGAGACCCATAAAATCATCATCCTCTCTAATTAACTAAAGAATGTCATATTAACATAATTCAGAGAAATAATGGAAGTTTGTGTTTTTTTTTACATAATATGAACAAAACGGTTATACAATGTGCAATATGCAGAAAGGAAAAAGATAAATAGAAATTCCTGAAGTTGCAGTTGTACAAAGAACCTCTCAACAAAATCATTTATCATTGCACAAAACTTAAAAGGTAATTTGCCCTGGATTCTGGAACACTATTATAGCAAATGCTTTCATTTCTTTGTGTTCTGTTTTATTGAGATATAATTCACATATCACACAATTCACCAACTTAAAGTATAGAATGCAATGGATTTTAGTATATTCATAGAGTTATCCAGTCATTACCACAATTTTAGAATTTTTCATAACCTCCAAAAGAAACCTCATGCCCATTAGCATATCTTTGTGTTTTTTAAATATTCAATTAAATATATAATGTTTTAACATCAAATATCGTATATTTTGTAGATGTAATCATGTTTTAACAATTTTTCTATGTTCCTAATCATCATCTTTATTTTTAATAAATGGACTGAATTTAAATTTTTTTAAAGTATTATAAAATTGAGGCCAGCACATAATTCTTGCAGATGGAGTTAGTTGCTCTTTCTATTTCTTTTCCTTTTAACAAAACTTCCCTAATCTCCTATAGTCCCATCTGAAGAGAAATTCAAGAAAGAGGCACAGCTTGTAAATCTTGAATCCTATAAAATATTTAGGGTCCTGGGCCTACCTACTTGTCTGAACTTTCCAGTTCATAAGAAGTTACTCAGAAGTGATAAAGGAGAGATTTGGGGACCTCTATGGTATCCATCCATCTTAGGCCAACATTCTGAGGCCCTATTTCCCTTTTTCCCCACCCTATACATTTATTAGGAGAATGACCCTGTTTAGAGGATATAATGGTTGACTTTATGTGCCAACTTGGCAGGGCCACAGTGCCCAGATCAGTAGCCAAATATTATTCTGGAAATTTCTCTGAGGGTTATTTGGATGAAATTAACATTTAAGTCAGTGGACTCTGAGTAAAGCAGATTGCCTTCCATAATGTGGGTCGGCCTCACCCATCAGTTGTAGGCCAGAATACAACAAAAGACTAACCACCCTGAGCAATAGAGAATTCTGCTAGCAGACAGTCTTTGGATTTAAACTGTGACATCAGCTCTCCCCTTTGTCCTCAGCATGATAGCCTTTGGACTTGAACTATGGCATTGACTCTTCCCTGGGTTTCCAGACTGCTAGCCTACCCTGCATAGTTTGGGCATCTGAGCCTCCACAATCATGTGATCAATTCCCTAAAATAAATAAATATCCAAAGATAGATAAATGCAGGTATACAAATCCACATATAAATACATACAACATATATATGTATATAATATTTGCATGTATATATGTGTATGTACATATATATATATATATAAAATATCATGTTGGCTTTGTTTTTCTGAAGCATCCTAACATAGAAAATTTCCTGAAACCTGTGAATACCCTGAATTGAGGTTGGAGTGCAGGAAGGAATAGTAGTCAAGAATACTCATCAATCCCTTGAATACAGCTTTGCCTTGCCAAATTGTACATGGACCAAATCTAATATGGAACTGTTAACTCTGCAAAAGCTACCATTACAAGAATGTAAAACAACTGAGGAAATAAATACCATTATCTTCTGAGAGCCAGGTAATTTTTCCATGATAGTAATAATCTACTTTGGCACAGGGAGAACTGGTCTGTTCTTTGTAATTTTGGGTAATGAGGTAATGGGAAAAGCAGAAATTGGCAAGATGGTACAGTAAAAAATTCATGGTTAATAAAAAGCTTTATTTCATTGCTAAAGGTCAATTAGTTTGAATATGTGAACAAGATGGCTGAGAGACCAAGAACAGGATTGATCTGATTATTGACTTCCTGATAAAAATGCACCAAATGAACTCTTGCAACAAAATCTAGCCAGTGGGGAAACAGTAGATACACTAGGACCTAGAATCAATCCACTTTTGTATATCAGCAATAAGATAGTTGGTTATAAAGCAAACAGGTGTTATTTGAGAGGTCATGTATGTTTTTAAGGATGTCATAATTATAATTTGGGAGAGGTTCATGTCAATCAGGGTTCATTGCAAGGAACAGAAAAATCATCCAGATTTTAGAAATAGGAAGGAATTTGACAAAATCTAATGTGCTTTCAAGATAAGAAAATGTTTAACAAATTAGGAATAGAAAGGTATTTCTCAACCTGATAAAGACATCTGCTAAAAGCCCACAGCTAACATCATACTTAATGGTAAGACTAAAAGCTTTCCCCCTCAGATCAAGAACAAGGCAAGGATGTCCACTCTACCACTTCTATTTAGCATCGTAGTAGAAGTTCTAGTCAAGGCAATAAGGCAAGGAAATGAAATAAAAGTCACCTGGATTGGAAATGAAGTATTCAAACCATCCTAACTATAAATAAGCATTTATATATAAATATATAAAAATAAGAATTTATGGAGAGGGATTAAAGATGGTGGCATGAGAGGAGAGACAGAGGCTTCCTCCTAAAACTGGATACAATTAGAAAATTTAATTGGCGCAACTAACCCTGAGAGAGCAACAGGAAAGAGGATGGCGCCAGACTGCATGCACCTGGAGAAAAGAGCAGACCTCAGCGAATGGGGTAATGTACCAGAGCTGTGGCTCCACAGGACCCGAGCCCCTCCCCCATCAAAGCTCACCAGCGAGAGGAAGAGAAACGGAGCAGGGAGGGAGTGGAAGGCTTGGGACTGCTGAATACCTAACTCTGGAGATCTGCTCTGGGAGCACAAACCTACATTTCATGGTGATTTCATTAGACTAGCATGACTACTGGGTTGGAAAGCTAATACAGGCAGAGTTCCTGGGGAGACTGGGATTCCAGCTGCTTGTGGAAAGCAGGGATCCATATCCGGCTGCTCTGGGACAAAAACATACCTGTGTGACCGGCCCACGGGCTCAGGCAGAGGACACAGGCACAGGAGCCAGGAGGCGGGGAACAGCTCTTTCCTCCCCCCAGGTACCACTACCACTCCCCTGCGACGCCCGACATTGCTTCAGGGGCTGAGCAGCTCCAGAATAGAGCTTCTGGACACTAGAGGGCACCATACACAAACATGAAACACCAAAGGAACCTTGTCCAGAGTAAAATTATTAATATAACTCCCAAGAAAGATTTAAATGATATGGACTTCGTGACTCTTCCTGAAAGGGAGTTCAAAATGAAAATCATCAACATTCTAAAGGAGGTACGGAAAGACATCCAAGAATCTTAGGAATGAATTCAGGTCGGAGATCCAATTGTTGAAGAACATGATGGAGGGTATTAAAAGCAGGTTGGATATGGTGGAGGAGAAGATACATGAAATAGAAACTAGAGAAGATGAATACAAAGAAGCTGAGGCACAGGGAGAAAAAAGGATATCTAAGAATGAAAGAATGTTGAAAGAATTGTGTGACCAATCCAAACAGAACAATATTTGCATTATAGGGATACCAGAAGAGGAAGAGAGACAGGGATAAAAAGTGTCTTTGAGGAGGTAGTTGCTGAAAACTCCCCCAATCTGGGGAAGGAGATAGTCTCTCAGGCCATGGAGATCCACAGATCTCCCAAAACAAGGGACCCAAGGAGGACAACACCAAGACACATAGTAATTAAAATGGGAAAGATCAAGGATAAGGACAGACTGCTAAAAGCAGCCAGAGACAGAAATAAGATCACATACAAAGGAAAGCCCATCAGGCTAACATCAGACTTCTCAGCAGAAATCTTACAGGCCAGAAGGAAGTGGCATGATGTATTTAATACCATGAAGCAGAAGGGCCTGGAACCAAGATTACTTTATCCAGCAAGATTATCATTTAAATTTGAAGGAGGGATTAAACAATTTCCAGATAAGCAAAAGCTGAGAGAGTTTACCTCCCACAAACCATCTCTGTAGTTTATTTTGGAGGGACTGCTATAGATGGAAGTGTTTCTAGGGTTGGATAGCTGTAACCAGAGGTAGTAAAACCACAGTAGGAAGGGTGGAGCAGCTGATTGTGAGGCAAATGAAAAATTAAATTAACTAACCCCAAAGTCAATCAAGGGATAGAGAAAAAGTACATAATTTGATACCTAATA